ATTCAGGAGCACTTGACCATGAGCCACATCCCCAGCATTATTTTGTATTTTCTAATAGAGACAGGGTCTCACTTTTTATGAGGCTGGCTTTGAACTCATGATCCTCCTGCCTCAGCCTCCCATCTGAGTAATCCCATCTATAATCCCAGATTACACTAAATTTACAGGCGTGTGCTGCTGTGCCTGGCCCAAAGGGTGGCTTCTAAGTTCAGATTTTTGATTCACTACAGTCCAGCTATCATTTTATTTCCTAGTATATATATATTTCCAAGTTGTGGAAGTGGGCCCAATTCTTCTTCAGTTCCCCACTGTATCTGAATACCCACTAATTTAATAGGAAAGGTGAAGGGACACACTGAGTGGAAGAATTGAAGCAAATAAACAAAATAGTTGCAGTTATAGGTATGTTGTGAGGAAATTAGCTTTAGACAAAGTGATTTAGGTTGAATTAATGCTGCAAGTTCTTTTAATTATATTATCTGTTTTAATAGAGATGTGGCCTGTAAAGTAAACTGGTACAATCACTGTAGAAAGCAATTTGGGGTTACATATTGAGAGTCATAAAATTTTTGTACTGAGAACTATAGAATTTTTCATTGCCTTTGATGATGTAAACATACTCCTAAAATCTATTCTAAGATAGAATCAAAAAGAAAATTCAGTCACATATAGGAGTGTGTTCATATCAGCATTAGTGATGGCAAGATGCCAGATTCTGTATTTAGAGATAAAGAACAGAGAGGCCATATGTTTCAGTCAGCTTTGTATTGCTGTGACCAAAATACCTGACAAAAACAATGTAGAGGAGAAAAAGTTTATTTTGGTGTACGTTTATCAGAGGTTCAGTCCATGGTTGCCTGACTCCAAAGTTTTAGGCCCAAGATGAGGAAGACCATTATGGCAGAAGAGTGTGATGGAAGGGAGCAGCTCAGGGCATGGAAACCAGGAAGTAGAGAGAGACCAGCGATAAATTATAAACCCCAAAGTCATACCTTCAGTAACTGACTTGCTTCCTCCAGCCACATTCTACCTGCCTACAGATACCAACCAGTTAACCCATATCAGTGGATAAGTCCACTTATTAGGTTACAGCTCTCATAACTCAGTCACCTCTGATCATTCTTGCATTGTCTCTCACAGAAGCTTTTGGGGGACACCTCATAAGCAAACCATAACACTGCACTTTTATGACATCCCTGCATGGTGACATATGAGAATCTGCCATAATGAATGAAAGCTGAATCTTCTCTTTATTACTAAGACTCACCAATCTGTTCATCTCATCCAGTTTCTTGCATTTAAGTACCATTTGTATGATGAAATCTCCCAATTTATATCCCTAGTCCTGGCTTCTCTAAACACAAGACTTGCTTATTCATGTACATAGTTATTGTATTTAATACAGAATTTGAACTTAATAAACACATGATACCCTTAAATACATGATAATTTCCTACATATCCACCTCACCTGAAGTCTTGCTTCTTTTAGTGAGTGATAACTCCATCCTTCCCACTTTTTAGGCAAAACCCCTTGAGGTCATCCTTGATGTCTCTCTCTTATACCCATTTTCAATCCTTTATCAATCCTCTGCCTTCTCAGCATAGCCAAACTATGAATATTTCTCACCATTTTCATAAATACCACTCTTGTTTTAGCTAACTTTTTTCTTTCAGAATTACTACAGTGGGTTTTCAAAGTCTTCCTGGTTCTATACTTATCCCCCCATAATATGACATCAATATAATATGCAAATGATTCTTTCTGAACACACAACAATACCATTATATATCAACAGGATTCACACTTTAATGAACAGAGCTATGGATATCAGATTAAACTCTTACATACCATTTTTCTAATAGTTTCTAGGATCACTCTGCAGTGATTGTTTTTATTGATAGAAATATTATATTATTATTATTATATTATATTCCTAAAAATATTTAAGTAGCTTTTAAAATATTTTCCCTTCTATGGGGGTGGGGTTATGGCTCAGTGGTAGAGTGCTTGCCTAGTATGTGTGAGGCACTGGGTTCGATTCTCAGCACCACATATAAATAAATGAATAAAATAAAGGTCCATCAACAACTAAAGAACATTTTTTTTTTAAATTTCCTCCTCTAATTGTATGTAGAATTCATTTGTCAAGTTAAAAACGGCAAATTTGATTTTTACCTATTTTTCTATACAAAGATTGTTTTCTTAAACAAAGCAGAGGAAGTCTTGCATTTGAACAGTTCTTTGAATAGTAGCAAGTGTATACTCAAAATGTCATATCATTGAATTCTCATTTTCCCTTGTGCTTTGTAACAATGTTCTGGTGGACAACACATTTTTTCTTAAATTCTTATCAGTTCTGGTATGTGATATTCTCATCTCCTTGATGCATATTTTCCCACTTACATTAAGTGAAACATTAAGTAACATGGTTCAGTATTTCCCGCTTAATGCTCACTGTCAGAATTTTCTAAAATTCTCATATAAAAATTACTGGATCTTATAAAATATACAGATTAGTAGATCGCTCCCCTGGAAATTCAGATCTGATGAATCTAGGTTGAGCCTGGGTATAATATCTTTAACAAGCATTTTAAATAATCTTTATTTTCTGGATGGTTTGGGAAATTTTTAAGGTAGATTAAAACAAAGTATCACAGATTATTAGTGGGTTTATGGGAAATTACCAAAGCAACAAAAAGTATCACATCAAAAATCAAATAAAACATTGTTAACTTGAACAAAGAAAAATAAAACCAGAAATACTTAGTAATAAACATTAATTACACTTTCATGAATCGAGTATGTGGGTGAGTTCCTATTTCCTGTGTGATTACAAAAGGAGGTAAGCATTTGTTCTGAGCTCACAAGAAAATATTTGAAGGTGCTTCACAGAGGTGGGTCACAGTGAGAGACTTCTTAAGCTTTGGAAGCAATGTTGTTCTCTGAGAGCTTACATGCAATGAGGGGTCAAAGTAACTTTGTCCATTGAGGACAATCACTGGTGTGAGTGAAATAGCCAAGGACACAGAATATATAAATATTGCAGACAACATATGAACTTGATGTTACCTGAGAGAAGCAGAAATGAATGTGATGCAATCATGTGTGTTGCATCTAGAAACTGTTTCTTCTCCTAATATAGAGTATTTGTTACAGTAGAGGCTGATCATCCTGAGATGTGAAATAGTGATGCAATCAAAACCCAATGCAGGATTACATTCACAGTTCCATATTGGGGATGAGCAACAAAAAATATCTGGACCACACAGAAATTAACTCCATCTTGGCTTTGGTTGTTTGGACATGATGATTCTTGCAGAAGCATCTGAAATCTGAGGACACTCTCTAGGCTTGTGGGGATCCAATCAAAATATTGGATTTTGCTTCTGGACAGTTTCTTATACTGCCCTACAGGCAATTCCTTACTTATCTACGTTAGTTAACAATACAAATAAAAACATCAGAAAAAAAAATGTCTGGTGGAGCAGATGAGACCTAAAATTTTCACGTCAGTACTTTTGATACAAGTTTTCTTTTTATCGATATAAATAAATATTATAAATTTGTGTATGCCAACTACTTGGATTAAGTAAAATTAGTGTATTTGTGAATTGGTGTGAAGATTGGATGAGTAATAGGTTTTAACATTCCTTTCTCTTCTTCAACCAAATAAAATTATCACATGTTGTCACTGTTCTGGATAGGGAGGTATTTAAGGATGAAAATAAAAATAGCTGTGTTGCCTTTTATTCATAATAAAATTTTCTAGTCCATACTTTTGGAGAGACTCGAACTGAGCATTTGATATCTGAGAAAGACAAGTTTTCTCATTGTGCTAAGGGCACTTCAATTAAGATCACCAGCAGAGTTCCTACTCAAATTCTTTCTTCACCCATCATGAAGACATTCCTAAAAGGATTTCTAATCAGCAAGTTCTGCCTTGCTCAGACTTGGACGTTGTGTGATAATTGCCTTTAATTATTGCCTTTCTTAAACCTAAGACTCAGAGAGATGAAATACCTTTTTTATCGGATAAAGCCATCATCCACATAACTCCAAGGAACCTTCCCTGATAAAGAAGATATATTCTACACACATTGGCCTCCATTTCCCCCAGCTCCAGGGAGAGTGTAGATACAAGGAAAAGCATATCAATTTGTATTATGGTGAAAGTGTAATTAATATAATTTTGTTCACATATATTAAGGACAGTCATGAATATTTTTCTATAATACATGTCTACATAAATAAATCATTTTTTGCAGTGTAATCACTACAGGATAGAGCTCTTTTTGTCCTTACCTTTCATTGGTCAAATATTCAGCATGCTAAAATAAAAATAATAACATTGTGGGATAGTGTGTGGATTAATTCACTAAGACATGCAAGTACAATATGAGAGTACTCTGACCCTAGACCTATATAGTACTTAAAGATGCCCTGATTGTCACCTTACTGTACTTCATCCTTAGGATTATTATTGTGCACAGTTTTGTTATGAGATTGTTGCACATTCACTAATTACTCATCCCCACATACACATCCCAAGTAAACAAAATCATACTTCATCATATATAACATCATATATATTTCCGATTTTAATATTTTAGAAACTATAAAGAGCTGAAAATTGATGATGTTGTGGTTTATGATATATATGCATATATTTACTTAATTTAAAATATCTAATTTTTCTTAAGACAATTGCAAATTATTAAGAAAAAAATTATTTCAAAAATTACCAAGTTCTAAATTTTACATTTTTGTTATATGAGTTATTTTCCTGGACATGCCACAGCTGGCTTCTGAGATTACATAATAAGTAAAATATGAAACAATAGTCAATTGTCTAATATTACATTGATATTCAATAAATGCTACTATCCTGGAAATATAATTAATTCTGTGTAAATGATTCATTTGTACAAAAAGTTTACAAGGCAAATCAGGAGAGAGGATATAATGGTGAGATCCTATTGAAAACAAATGCACTCTTTCTAATATTTGAGGGTGGAAATGAAGACATTCCTGAAAGTATTTCTAATTAGCAATTTCTTCACAGCCACTTTTACTTCTTTGTTCCGTAGACTATAGATAATAGGATTCAACATGGGAGTTAATCCTGCATATACCAAAGCCATAAATTTATCTATTTCCTGTGAATTTACAGCTGATGGCTTCAGGTACATGGAGAGAGCTGTCCCATAGAACAGAATCACCACAGTCAGGTGGGCTGCACAGGTTGAAAAGGCTTTGCTTCGGCCATCCACTGAGCTGATTCTCAGGATGTTGGAGAGGATAAATGCATAAGAGATACAAATCAGCAGCATTGGCATGGGAAGAAGGAACACACTTATTGCCAGCATAATTAATTGTACCACGGAAGTGTTTACACAAGCCAGTTTCAAGATAGCCAGAATTTCACAAGTGAAATGATTGATGATGTTGTTACCACAGAGAGACAGCTGCAGCACAGGCACTGTTTCTACCAGGGCAGCAAGGCAGCCTGTCACCCAGGAGCCAGCTGCAATCTGCACACAGACCCTCTTGTTCATGATGAGAGGGTATCTCAGGGGGTTGCAAATGGCCACATATCGGTCATAGGCCATCATGGAGAGGAGTACACATTCAGTGGAGCCCATGGCAAGAGAGAAGTACATCTGAGAGGCACATCCTAAGAAGGAGATAGTGTTTTTCCCTGAAATAAAGTTTGCAAGCATTGGGGTAAGAGCAGAAGAGGTATACCAGATGTCCAGAAAGGAGAGGTTGCTGAGGAAGAAGTACATGGGGGTGTGCAGGTGGGAATCCAGGATAGTGATAGAGATCAAAATTATGTTGCCCAGCACAGTGCTCAGGTACATCAGCAGACACAGCATGAATATGATAACCTCAACTTTGGGGTAATGGGAAAATCCCAGGAAGAAAAAATCTATTACAGATGTCCAATTTTCCTGGAACATTTTTTATGTTATGTTCATTTATAGATGCACAGATAGGTAAACATCAATATTATATAGAGAGTGAAGGATTCCCTCTTCACATTTTCTGGCATTTTTTCCTTTATATGAATCTGTGATCTTGCTTAAATGCTTCTCTATGTTGGTGACAGTACTGTAATACATGTTAGAATGATCTGTCATTATTATAATTAATCAGGAAAACCACAGACCCAAACCCAGATTGTTACTTTTGCTGCAAAACATTTTTTGTTTGTTTGTTTTTGGTAATATCAAGACAGAGTGGGAGGAGGGTTAATTTACTAAACACAAGAGAAGAAGAATCAATCTTTTGTTTACTTTCTTTTTCCAAAACCGCATTTGTAACTGATCTATAGCTATTTCATCTATTTACCTTCGAATCATTGAAATGATTTTCTTCCTCTAGTTTGGTAACAGTCTTCTTACTTAGAAAAAGTTCTGTTTTCCAAGTTCACATTCTTCTGCCACTCCTAGAGGTATGTGAAGAATGATTTAGAAGATTCAGTGATTTATAAAAGATAATAGATCTCCACAGACAAAAATTCACTGAAGATATTGGATATTTAGACACAAGCTCAGATTTTCCTCTTCAAATCCAGGAAAATGGTGACAGATGATGTCACAGTGGGAGACACATGGTAGATATATCTTTTACATTGTAGAAACATCCTTCAAAAGACCAGCCATTGGTACTGTAAGACAATTTAAGCTATTTGTTGCTTTTGAGAAGTTTCTAACTAATGCAGCAAATTAAAATTACCCTTCCATTTGTAAAGTATTTCAAAACTCCAGGGATAATGTCCCATAGATCCAATTATAATCAGTAGTTTATGTGGTCTGATTACAGTGTTATTCAAACAAGTAATAAACATGTTCTTGTCAACACTCTGAGAAAATGGGGCTTCACTCCTCTCCTGATTGTGTTATAAAATCAGTCAAGCTGGTTAATATTAAGGAGAATGAATAATATTGGTCTTTTCTCCCTTAGATTGAATAAGAGTTTCATAACATGAATGAGATCAAGTTGTACTAGATAGGAAACCCAGAAAAACAGGGGACTGAGAGCTTAATTTCTATTGCCCCTCATGGCTTAACAGGAAGATTTATGAGAGCAGATGTTCTTCATGGAAAATGCAACTCCGTCTGCTTTAATGAGTGTTTTTCCTTTTAGGAAGTTAACTTCGTCATATTAAGGCATCTTGATCCTTCAGATTTCCACCGAAGGCTCTCTTTGAGTTTTATAATCCCTGTTTACAAGTTGCTTGTTCTCAAAATTAGGCATGGATGGTTAAGAGTGTGTAGTGGTTTGGGGAAAACAAACTGTCAATTTTGTCCCTTTACAATTGTGACTGATAACTTGCTTCTTAAGTAGCAGACTATAATCACAGATATTATTGAATTATTTATGCCACTTATTAAATATGTCCTCATTCTCAGAGAAAGCTATAGATTTGAACTATTGCCAAGATTTTTAAAGCACAACCCCAAATCCCCTCATCATTATCTGGTATTTGCAATCAGAATGCATCCTTTGACCCTTTTATTTACTCACTCCCATGGGGATATAACCTGAAAGACCCTGGGATTATGCATATGATTCACTTCTTTAACTCAAGAACAGTGCAGTTCACAGGAGACATGGCCTTTAGTGGGGCAAACACTTTCAGTCCACTATTTCATGTTTTTCATTTAGCACAAGCTGATAATCCTCACTGAGATGCTGCTTAATCATAAAAGGGTAATAGACAATATTTCTCTATCAGGGTTGTTGGGAGTTTGTTAGTAGAGATAAATTATGTAGATCAACAAATATATAGTAAGTACTTGAGTGTTAGATTTTTATCTATTTTGTTTTTTACTTGCTTCAATAAACTAGAAGTAATTCTTGATTCTTTATTCTCCTTATCTCGCATCTGCTCAGATCTTCTGAAAACTCTCAGACTTCTGACTTCTAGTAATTTGCAAAATCCTATAGCCCAGTAGCTTATATCAAACTAATTCTGCTCCTAACAACATATAAGTAGAAGGCACGAAGAGAAAAAGGTAGTAAGAAGATAGACATAAACAAACATATTAATAATAATATTTAGCACAAATAAACCAAAAACCAAACCAAAAACCAAAACCAAAGAGAAAGAGACTAGTTTGAAAAAGAAGACCCATATTTATATTATTGTCAAAATTACTCTCTAAATGAAGACATAGATAAATCAATGGTAAAAAAGTAAAATGATAATGACTAAATGAAAGCAAGGTAGAATGACCATATTAATAATAGGTCAATTAACTTCAAGGAGTGGAGCATTCCTAGAAATAAATAATAAAAGGGTGAAATCATCAAGAATACATTAAACATCTATGCAATAAATAGCCTTAATTCACAACTATATATAAAGGTATATATAAAGGAATATATAAAGTCACATTTAGGTATTCTAACTTCTACTTTCAGTAACTGGTAGAGTAAGTAGTCAGAAACTTAGTGTGGTTTAGAAGATTGAAAAATACTTATCAAATGAATTGATTTAATTGAACTTTATAAGATACTATTGAAAAATTTCTGTTTATAAAAGCTTTCCCAAGTGAGTATAGAACATTCACTGGGATATAGTATATGCTGATTCATAAAAGAAGATCTCAGTAAGCTTCAGAACCTTGAAAACATAGAGAATGTTCTTTGCAAAATTCGAAACCAACATCAGCATCAAAAGTAGAAAATTCCAAAATATTTGTAAATTAATTAATACACTCCCAGCTAAACAATGTGTCAAAGAAAAAATCACAAGTAAAACTAAAATATATTTTGAACTGAATGAACATGAAAATGCAATATATCAAAATTTTTGAGATGAAGCCAAAGTGCTGTTTAGAAAGAAGAAAACAGTGTTAAGTGATTACAGTAAGAAGATTTTGAGTAAATTGTGTAAGATTTCAACTAAAAACATGTTTGGAAAAGCAAAAGAACAAAGTAACTCAAAATAAGTAGACAAAATAATAAAGGACAGAAATAAGTGAAATAGAAAACAAGATGCAATAGACAAATAAAGTTGAATGTTGAAAGTTTGAACAGATTTATAAAATTAATAAACCTCTAGCTGACTGATCAAGAAAAAGGTAAAAGCACAAACTAAAGGTTTTAGAAATAAAACAGGGATATTCCTGTACTTCCTACAAGTATTTAAAAGAGAATAGGGAACAACATTGACAACTTATTCCAATAAACTCAACAACTTAGACTTGATGGCTGTTTCTTGCAAGGCAGTACTTACAAGAAACAGAAAATCTGAATAGATCTATGACAAGTAAAGAAATCATACTTAAAAACTTACACAGAGCAAACATCAGACCTGGACTGATTTACCAATGAATTATGTAAATGATGAATAAATGATATTATGCTTTTAGAGACACACAAATTCAGCCAACAAAGGAAAGATTTCCATACCAAGAGGGCAAACCTTGTTTATGAGACCAACATACTTGTTATCAGCCAAACCTGATAAGTAGATTAGGATAAAAGAAAATTTTGAAATAATATTCCTCATACATACAGACTTAACAATCTTCAGCAAAATATCAGCAAATTAATATGCCATATGCCATCATGTCAAAAAATTATTTTATCGTGAACAAGTGAGCCCAGACCCCATAAGGGAATGCCAGTGTGATATTTGACTATCCATCAATTACTTATATAATTTTATCAGAACAGAGGTAAAAAATTTACATATCCACAATGCACAGGAGCAAAATCTGTTTTTGAATTTTATAAATTCAAAACCTAAGGGGAATTTTTACAGCATGATAAAGAATGTCTACTAAAAATCTGAGCTAGCATCAAACAAAAAGAGTAAAAGTTTTTAGTTTAAAAAACTATGAATTGTGAATTTTTCTTTTCTTGATGGTGACATTTTGGAAGACTTGTCTGAGAAAGCTTTGTCTTCGTCAAGGTAAAACAAATATTCTGAGTGCTTTACGAGAAGCTTTATAAATTAAACATTTGTGTTTAAGTCTGTGTTCTACTTCAAATTGAAAGTTGTATATAATGTAAGAGGTGAATATATAGTTTGTTTCAGCAACAGCTGCTGAAAAAAAAATCCATAAACAAGTTACCTCTAATTTTTGTAGAACTTCTTTAAATTTTGTCTACACTGTCCTGTAGCTTTCAGTATAAAAACCTTGTACATATTCTGTTCATTTTCTCTTACATTTTTAATTCTAATGCAAATAGTTTTTTAAAAGAAATCTTTTCTAATTGTTATTGGTAAATAGGACTTAAGCTGATTTATGTGTTCTAACACATACTGATAGGTTGGTAAATTGTCTTATTATTTTTATTTGTTATTGTGTGGGTTCGTTAGAAGTTTCCATACCTGTTTTAGTTGGTTGCATTCAGAGTCTGGTAGTCTTTGAATAATGACACTTTCCTTCCAACTGTAATTCCTTTTAATTATTTTCTTGCCTAATTGTGTTAGGCAGGGCTCTCAATATAATGTTACACAGAGATGGTGGGTATTCTTTCCTTGCTCTTGATCTTAGGAGGACAAGATTCAGTTTTTAAACTGACTATATAAAACTGTTTCATCTTGGACATATCTCCATATTCAGTGTCTTCTTTCTTCTATCTAATTAGAGGAAATTGAAAAAGATTTTTATCAACATTTCTTTCAACTGTGCCATATCTGAACTCCGATGTTCACTAGTATAAGCATCTGCTAAGCTATATAATGGCTCATTCTTACAGTCTTAGGGACTGCATTAGAACCAATAAATTTATGTTTGTATACATATTTAAAATATAAAATTATGTATTTATTCTATACAACATATATAGAATTTCTCTATGTATGTGTATATTCTTTTATTAAGTATTAATTACTTATGTGAATATTTGTGAATACTCGAGTATAAACAAAAGAAAACAATAAGAGATAACCAAATGCTAATAAAATAGGGAGTCAAATCTCTTTGAAAAATATTAG